AGCATGGGCCTCCTTGAGATTCTTGGTAACTGTACACTGGTTAAAGAAATTGCTGGCGATTTTGGGTTCATTAAACACCCCATGGTTTCAACTCCTCGTTAAAGATCTTGAGAAAATGCTCAAATGGGTGCTTAGCAATACAGACTCCAGGATAAGACAGAGGGAAAAGGTGAGATTTTTAACTGAAAGAAAATATCTACAAATCTATTTTGGCGCTATTCCGGAGTCCCAGAGCTCCGGCGTCCAGAGAGAGTTTTTTTCCCCGGTCCCTCAATTATAATATTCCTCTCAAATTAAATGCATAATAATCAAGATTTTTAATTTTACTGGATGACTATTTATTTTCTTTCATATTTAATTCTTTGTTAAACTTTTTAAATAATCTAAAGCTAAAAAGTAAAAATAAGACAGTCAAGTTAAGAAAATCAAAAAGTAAATACTAAAAATTTAAGAGTTTTTTTTTTTTTTTTTTTAAAAGAAAAAAGTTAAGAGTTATGTTTTGTACATTTTCTCAACTTAAGGTGACTTAGAAAATTGAATGAGAGATCATATCTGAAAGAAATTGAATAGCATGCACCATATTAGACATTTTGATAGTCGATGACTTCATTTGAGAGAGCTATCATACTAATATAATCGAGTTAATACCATCTTAGAGTGCTCCGAGTAGAGTGATTTCGTAATATTTATTCCTAAACTTTCAAATTTACCATTCGTGGTCCTTCGACTTTTAAATTGTTACCATACATGGTTCAAGTGAACCACACAGGTCCTTCAATTATCAAAATTTAACCACCTATGGTCCTTCCTTCCAAAAGGACCGTGACTGGTTAAATTTTAAAAGTTGAAGGACCATGGGTGGTTAACTTGGACTATGAATGGTAACAACTTAAAAGTTGAAGGATTATGAGTAGTAATTTAAAAATTTAGGACTAAACGTGACAAAACCACTATACTCGTAGGACGCTAGATGGTATTAACTCGATACAATCATTATACCATGAATCATGGACTCATGGTTCGCTTACAAGATAACCATGAATATAAGATTCATTTTTAATATATTTAATGTTTATTTTTAATAAATTGAATGTTCATTTTTTGTGTCATACTTTCATTATTTGGTATATTATCTAAAAATGAACTTTCAGTATATTAAAAATGAATATGCAATATACTAAAAATAAATATTTATTTACAATTCACATTGTAATGTGGTCATAGTCCATAGTATAATTTGTCAGTATCATAGCTTACTAGGCAACGATCCACAGAGCTGACCACAGTTCAAAAATAACGTCGTTTTGATATTTAAAACAATTTCTTGCTCCGTGCGCGTGTTAGAATAATGAATAGGGTCAGATAATATTTTGTATGAGTTAGAATCATATACTTTATGTACTAGAATAATGAAATTTTGGAGGTAAAATAATGTATTTTATGAGTTATAATAATGTACTCTATGTGTTTTTGCTGTGTGGACCACGGTTCACGCAAATACGCAATAATGATTGAGCTGACTAAGCTGATGGACTAAAAGAAAAAATTCTCGTCCAAAGAGGAACGATATGTTGTGGAATCGTGCGCACTTTGCAAGGTGAGCACAGTTCCATATTCATAATTTCTATACTGTAGATTCATAATTTTTATATTGTAGATTCATAAAATCTATGCTTTAGATTCATAATTTCTAAATTGTAGATTTATAACTTAAATACAATAGATTTATAATTTCTATACTGCAGATTCATGATATTTGTACCGTAAATTCATAATTTCTAAACTGTATAGTTATCAAATTATGAATTATGAACATATAGTTCTGTGATTTGTGCAAACAGAATTCAACAATTGGGAATATGAACATCGAAAATTATGAACATATAGCTCTATAATTATGAACATATATTTATAAAATTATGAACATATAGCTCTATAATTATAAATCTACCGTATATAAATTATAAATATAGAATCGTGTCCACCTTGCTTTCCATAACATAATTTGCCGTCCAAAGAGGAGCGTTATGCCATGAAACCGTGTTCACCATTCCAACGGTGTTAGTACACTGTTATCTCCTTTTTTTTTTTTTTTTTTTCCCCTTAATTAATTGCGTGACTTTTCTTCTTCATTTTCACATTTTGTGGTTTCACTTTAATTTGAGGTGAACAATGATTTCGGACATTCATAAATTATGAATTCATATGTGCACATTCACTTTGGAACCATGCTTACACATTCCCGTCCGAAATCACGAACATTCATAAATTATGAATTCATGCCTGCACATTCACTTTGGAACCATGCCTACACATTCACTTTGGAACCATGAGATTATGAATTTTCAGTTATGAGATTATGAATTTTCTGTTATGCGATTATGAATTTTCTGTTATGCGATTATGAATTTTCTGTTATGCGATTATGAATTTTCAGTTATGAGATTATGAATTTTCTGTTATGAGATTATGAATTTTATGAAAATTCATAATCTCATAACAGAAAATTCATAATTTGATCAACGCGCGCCGTTAACTTCACATCCGCGAATTTTTTTTTTTTTTTTGCCTAAAAACGACGTCGTTTGGCCTTGTGTTCACCATTCTCGGTGAACACGTTTCCAGGGCATAATTTGCCGTCCAAAGAGCATTGGGCCCAACAAATAGCTCATTAGGCCTGCTAAAAAAGCTTCAATGGCCCATCTCTGCTCTTCCCTCCGGCGCCAACAGAATCAACTGATCATCATCCGAATTCTGAAGTGCTTCAACTGTGGCCTTCGTCATCCCAATATTCAGGTCAATTTCTGTGTTTTAACCTATAATTATTTGGATTATTTGTTTACTTTCCAATTCATCTTAACTTGAAAAGTTGAATTATTGTTTTTTATTTTCAAATATTTAGTACGACTCTACTATATGCTTCGTTGATTGGTTCTGTTTTCATGGAGATTAGGTTTAAAACTTGATAGTGTTAGTGAAGATTTGGGGGGTTTAAATGGTACAGAAGAGGCAGCCATGGCCGAGGGTTAGTTGTTTCCTATATAGTTGTGTGTTCTGGATTCATCTGATTTCTTTTCCTCATTGTTAGTTCCATGACTGTATTTGTGAATGCTTCCGCTGTGGATTTCCAATTCTCAAATCAGTGTACGGTAATGGCGTCTCTTCACTTGCCAGCAAAAGTGGAATGGAATTTTTCGCCATTATCCTTTCATTTTGATGTGTCAACAGCCCTTTTGCACTGATAAAAGAGAGTGAGGACTTTGGTGATGAAAGAGATAGTGGAGTGCTAGTGAAACTGTATAATATATCTTTCATTAACATCTGGTGATAACATTTTTGCATTTTTGCTGGTTCATTGATGTTATGCTCTCTTTCCACCCTCTCTCATGAAGACAAGTGGCAATTTAAAAAGGAATATTTTATACCAAAGAGGTTGATGGGAAGATATCTGATGTGCTTATTTATTTATTTTTGTGCTTATGTCCTACAGATAACCTTTCAAAAATCAGGGCAAATTAGGTAAGGCTCATGTCTGTCAATTTATGTGAACAGTTGTTGTTTTATCTGGTATTTGAGGCATAGAGAAATATTTAATGATTAAAAAACATCAGTTGATGCTGGCGTCTGGCGATGGAATATAGGTTCTATAGGCTTTATGATCATTATTGAAATTAGTTTTGTTTACTGTCCTGAAGTCAGAAAATTAACTTTGATGAAAGCAACCTCAGAGGCCCAGAGGCACCACAAGAGAAATTAAAACGCTAAAAGTAGCACTGCCGATTGGATATTTAACATAATGCTAATGTCAAAGTTATTGGTGTAACAGATGTTAAGGTTAGCTGAAACAAAACCTAAGAAATAGGTCTTCAATATATAAAGCCAAGCATTTAAAGATAGAAAACTCTGTAGGGTACGTTGGCAAGAATTTTTCCACCTGATGTGTGCCTTGCAGTGATTGGAATTTTTTTTTTTTGGAAGGTCGGCCACCTTATCCATTGATGATCTATTTGTGTGTCAAGAGGGGCTTTCCTTGCTGATGCACCATGTAGTGAAACTCTTTAAGGACTATGAGAAGGCACCCCAGCAAAAACTATCTTCTTAAGATAAAAGGAAGTCCTGAACCTGGCTAGGTTATATTTTAAAATTCTTATGCTTTAATTATATTAACAAGATTATGATATCTTAGAGGGAGCCTGGGGAGAACCCAGAGGAGAGAAATTATGAGGTAAAATTGAACTGCCTGCAAGTGCAATGGATGTTGAACTACAGAAAGAAATGCACCATTAGAGCTACTGAATATGGTACTGTGTTGTATACTTGTATGATATCTGATTCCAGAAACTATGTATTCTAGGATCACCTACCTGAGACCTGATACTCTCAAGAAAAGTTAATAACAGTCACTTGACCATAGTGAATTTCCTTTCAACTGTTTTGCTTGATATAGTAGTTCCTTAAAGTATGAGCCACTATCACCAGCATCTCCACCTCTATATGTCTCTTTGCTTGCGCTATTGTGAGCCAAGCAGGAAATGTGATGGGGCCTGCTTTGGCCAAACCTGATCAATATGTGGCCACTTTCTTTATCCCTTGTTTCCTCCTCGTTTAGCCTTGTCTTCACAGATTTGGAAATGCATATGAATATAAATACCTTTTACCTACAGTTAATATCCAAGGAAACTCCATGCGTTTTTTTTTTTTTTTTTTTTTTTTTTTTTTTTTTTTTTGGGTAAGATCTCAACTCGGATGGGTTTCTTTCTTCTTGTTGATGACACTTCTTCTGATCCACATCTTAAGCGCCTACTACATAACTGAACCTGATTGGGTTTTCATAATGATCACTGAATGAAAACAGTGATGACGTGATTTGATTTGTCTATCATGGACCACTAATAAAGGTTTCACTTTCTTAAAATTTTCTCCATCAGCAGCTTCAGGATTATGCAGCATGATGAGAGTTGAAAATTTTCCATTGATTTAAGCATGAAAATAGCATTTGGTTACTCAGATTAATATGGTCATAAGGTATTATTGCACATTCTGTCTGTGTTCATTCTGTTAGGTGAACTTAAAGACTGATTGACATTCATGTAAAAACAGAAAGCAAAAGAGAAAACATCTAGCACTCTCACCCTCACTCTCCCCCATTTCCCTTCTCTGAATCTCTCAGAGTATTAGTAATGGAGATCATGCCTAGTGAAACATATTTATAGAACTGCTATTGGTTTGGTTTGAAGGTTCAGTCTTCAGATGATCTGTGGTGCATGTAATCTCTTCCAGCTCGCCTAAATCACTGAAAGGACTTCGAAGTTGGAGCTCCATGACCATTTGACGAAGACCAGAAGCTTCTTCCTTGAGGCAGGCATTCTCTTGAAGCACCTTGTCATGACAGTCTGACACTTGATTCAACTTATCTAACAGATTGTGATTCTCTGTTCTAAGGTGAAACACTTGGGACCGCAGCTCATCCAAATGCCTCTGTTTCCGCATCCTTGACCTCCTAGCTGATTCTCTGTTAGATATCATCCTCCTCTGTTTTCTCTCACCAATGATTCTAAGCTGGTGTTCATCTGACTCATCTGAGGTTGAATTATTGCTGACACATGACAAAGGCGCAGGGAACTCTGGGAAAGGAAGAGTGGTTTGATAATTCGCCCAGTTGGTTATAAACTTACTGAAATGGAGTGCAGGTATATCATTCGGCATGAAGCTGTAATCAAGAGGAAGAGGTAAGGGGTTATCAGCAGCAACATAGTTGATGCCGGTTATCTCTGATGATATCATGTTGACTAGATTGAAGGTGATATGTTTAGAGGGTTTTTGTCTGCAGATAGCAGTGAGAAGGTACGGGAGTATCGCATGAGAAAGGGATTTTATAGGAAGAGAAGACTTGAGAAGTGGGCCAGCTTCAGCAACATGATTAACAGTAGGATGGCTGACGAAATTAGGAATTTATCATCCATTTCTGCAGCACACAAAAAGCCATCATGGATGCATGCAAGTAAGAGTACATTAAACATCCATGCAATGTGTTGTGTTTTCTTTATTTCTACCTAAACAAGGATCCTATGATGTGTATATGTCACATATATGATGACATGTATGTATATTTGTATCTTCATGCATGTCACATAAAATGAAAATTCCTATTTTATTATATAATTCCTGAACAGTAAATATGATGTTTTATAGAACACAAAAGTTTATGATGATGGAATTGTAATTATTTAAGCAGGAAATGTTTTGGGGGAAGAAGAAAAAGCTGAGGCAAAATAGCAAATAGTCCAAAGTCAATACCAAAGAGTCATCTTTTAATTAAAGGCTAGCCAATTTCAGAGTCCCATTAAAAGTCTCATTTCCAGTCACATATTCAGATTGATGATGAAATCTAGATCAATTGGAAAGGTGGAAATTATTCAATACATCAAAATTTGATTATTTTAACAATGATGACTCACAGGGCACTTGCGATAGGGATAGAAGGGACCCATGAACTTTGCAATTTAGCTGAATTTTCTATAACTCATCTACATATGTAAACTTTTTTAATTTTGGTTTGCTTCCTATTGCTTCTCACCTTCAACCCTTTCTTCCTCCAATGGGGAAAAACATAGAAAAGTTAGAAGAAATTCCAGTATTGAAAGTGTTCAAGTGAATGCATTGGTTGACTTTCTTGACAAGTTGCTGATATTTTTTTCATTTTTTGCTTTAGTAAATGCTTGTATAAAGGTGAAACCAACTAGTCTTTGGAAGTAAAACAAGCGTGGTATTCTGGAATATGATAGGTATAACCTGAATACAATATAAAAAAGGAAAGACAATCTTTATGGAAGCATTGTCAATTTTTTTAATATTAATGGTGTGGCTGACATTTTTTCCCATGATGAAATGATCTATTTAAGAGGCTGAAAATCCTTAATATATTGCAATCTTCTGTCTGTTTCTTCTAAATTTTATCAAGTTAAACAAGTTAAGGTTTTTCAATTGAACACAAAGAGTAAATTATGAATAAACAATAATATAATAGTCTGAGTTTAGAGAGTTAATCTTAATGTCTCAGTTGGATGGTGCTTGATTTATTTAAGTTAGGAATATGTACTTCAATCCTGTGCCTACACCAACTTGTAGCTATTTCATTGATCATCTTTTCCCTGTATAAATAATAGTTTGTGGTATGGTTTTATCTGAACTATTCTTTAGATGCACTATGGATGTAACATCAACCACGGAGACGATCGGCAATATCCCAAAATGAACTCAAACCCTTATAAAAGTTCTCCATTTCTTCTTTTCTCTACCAATATCTGATAAGAATTAAGATAAAGGTTTCAGTTAAATAAATAAAATGATAACATATTTCTCTCCCTCCCTTTATTCCACTTCATATACCTAACCTTTTTTGTTTTGAGGTATAGTGGCGTGTGCTGCTACTGGTTTCTGCAAATGCCACCTTGTTAGTCTAGCCACCCACTGCATAAAAATACCCACCAAAGAAAAATATGTTGGTCTACTGAAAACTAATTAAGAAGGATTGTAACCACTTGGAAAGGCCACTTTAGCAGCAAACTAATCCCACTCATTAAAATATTGTCACATTTCACTCTCAGTTGCTCACAATCCTGTCATTCTCAGAAACTCTTGTTAGGTACTGTTGAGCATGATTTGCTGTTCATTTCTGCAATGGGTTCACATTCGTGTCAATATTCCGTGCTACTTTGCCAAATTATTTACCACCACATCTCCCCCCTCCCTTGTATATGCTCATTTATATATGTTGTACTATACACGTGTGCACACACACACACACACCCCGTAGATACACAGCCATTGGGATTTGGACTTGTCTGAATTGGTTATGTGAATGAGTTACTTCCAAAGAAAATGGTCCTTTCCTTGAATGATAAAAGAATTTAAATATCTATAATATTTAAAATTACAGTTGAAAACACTGCTTTGAACATGATAGGATGTGATGATGCAAGTATACATTAGACTCTTTAAAAAACATTATTACTTTTTTGAGGAACTTGCCCATACGTAATTTCTATTTTCACATCTTGTTGAAGGGGTTCATACAAATCAGGATAAGAGAATACAAAACACCAAATGAATGCCATTTTTTTTTTTTGTGTTCCAATCATATGAGCAACTGGATATGCATTTGTGAACTGAAAAAAAAGTGGTTTTCTTATTAAGATTGTGGCTGAGTGTTATTAGCTTATTTAATTAATTAATTATTTATTTGCAGTGTTCCCAATCTAATATGCTTCTGACGGCCACTAACCATTTGATGAGAAATCATTATAATATATCTTAAATTATGAAGAAATAATATTAAAATCTGCAGCTGTATCAAAAAAGTCTTGCCAAATCTCAGAGGCAGCATTTTCTTTTTTCCTTTCTTAGCTTTCCTTTTTCTTCTTCTCTCCTTTTTATTTTTTGTGGCTATCTTGTTCTGGTGATTCCCCACTATGAAACTACTATGCATTGCTGTTTGGATAAGAACCAGGAAGACAAGTACTAAACAATAGTGTTAAGGTTCCATGCATTTCATGTAAAAAGGTGATGATATGATAAATCCTTTAAAAAGTTGCAGAAAAATGGTTCAAACAAACAATGTAATTTAAGTTAGGTGGTTCTGCTCCTTCCAATCATAGAAGAAGCCTAAACATGTCGTAAACCTTTAGAACCAGACAGATCATTGTAGACTTATGTGCCCATTTTCAGACTTGGAAACATTTAAAAACACTTCATGGAAAAAAGCCATATTCTTCCAGGACAAGATCCTTTGTTCTTTTGTCTTCTTCTTCCTTTTTCTTAATCAGTTCAGTTTGTATTTTGTTATCTCCTCAGATTTGCTTGTTTCCTCGATCTGCTAATTGGATAAACTGAGGAGAATGATGGAAAATGACTGATGCCTCACACATCAGCTGATGGGAATTCAGACCAATATATAAGACGGTATATGTCAAAATCATCTGGCTAGCTGTGACTGGTGTAGTTAGGGTTTGGGTTCATATCATTTGGTACCTGAGCCGTGAGTCGGGCCTCCCACACCGGTTATTGACCGAAATCTAGGACTAGTCATGATTTTCTTCCATGGTAATGACCGAAATTTACTTAATGTTTAGATTCGTATCAATGACTAATCATGATTTTCCTCCATGGTAATGATACTAAGTGTTTTGAGTCATGGCTGCAGGGAAAAAGAGACAAGGTGGGTAGGAGAGATGGTCCGACTGGAAACCGCAAAAGATGACGCTAGAGGGGGTGGGGAACTCGATTTAACAGCATAGACATTCTGCACCAAACATTATACCATTTCTCAGCCAAGAAAGTGAAACAAATGGGGGTATTGAGAGACATAGTGGCAATGAAAATGACAAATATTTCCCTTCATCTTTGCACACAAAGGTAGTGGGGTCCCTCAGCTCTGGGTGCCCATTGCACCATCTCCCCACCCAATTGCTCCGCCTGTCATTTCATGACCATATTCATCTTGCCATTATAATAACCTCGATCGACTTTACATTGGTGCGTTCACAACCTTAAGGTATATCTGAGTTATGTTTACCTCACACTAGAAAGACGTGCATTCAAAATTGTAATTCCTATAGTGAGCTGTGCCTATAAGTCAAACTCTACTCGAAAAACTTGTCACACTCTCACACTACTATGTCATCTTTTGGCACAACCCAAAAGAAAAAAAAGAAAAAAAAAAAACAATTAAAGGCATTGCTTGAGGTTAGATACTATACATATCTCCATTAGAGAATAGAGAAAGCTCTTTTTCAGGTTGGTTAGATTATTCATGTGTTTAGTGAACCATATTGTTCCACTTGGATGATTTTGAGTTGAAGTTGGCATACAATCTTGAAGTAGGCCATGTATTTTCTAGGTAAAAATCCTAGGAACCATAGAAATGTAAACAAGTCATACAAAAACAGTGACATTTCAAATGTTTTTTCAAGGTTTCACTTGCCATTGTCTTGTAATTGGTGCAGGAGAGTAAATGTTTAAAAATTTATTTATCTTCCAATCTTCCATGGCCAGCTGATTGATGATGGTGAGAGGCATATATATATCAATATATGTATAGTAATTATTCTACAAATACTGTTATAATGATCTTGAAAATCTTGATATGGCCCAGTGGGAAGACACTCACATGAAGTTCATTTCTTATGTTCCTAGACGTAAGCATTTCACCATTTTAATTACTTGATTGATTGGCACTGATTTACTTAATTTGAGAATTTTGATTGCTGATGGTAATGATTGTAGCAGCCCAATATTCATGTGGTCAAAATTTCTTACCCAAAAGGGACACACGAGTGAGCGAAGCATGATTCTCGTTTCAAAAGATTACGAGTTCAGTTCTTGTCAAGATTGTCTCGGTTAAACATGGTCTTTTTAGTGCAATTTATCTCTTCTATGTGACTTGCTAACTATTATACAGGATTAGAATTTATTCTATGGATACTCTCGGGTAATGACTTAATTATTGGAATTTTTTGATTTAATTTTGTCACATCTTGCAAGTGTGGTTGATCTTTGAATTAGTAATTACTAGTGTGGTGCTCGAACAATGATTGTTTTTCCCTGTTCTTATAAAGGATATAAGTCATCCTTGTTAAATCAATTGATCCATTTTTATCATCACATGATGGGATCAAATTTGGTGTCTCTAATTAACCTTGTCTTATGTTTGTTGTTTATTATTATTGTCTTCTGCTAGAATTCACTTCACTTTTGATTTATCAGTTATATAATGTTATTTTTTACTTTGATTTTTAACCTTAATTTCTCCCACTTTTTTTTTTTTTTTTTTTTTTTTTTTTTTTTTTTTTTTTTTTTTTTG